TGATACAGTAAAGAAATAATAGAAGCCTGAACAAGGGGAAAATGATAGAAGTGATAGGCAGATTCTAGCCTATTTTTAAGAAAGAGAAAGAGGATTTGCTGATAACCAGACGTGGATATAGGAAAAAGAGAGCACTCCAAAGTTGACTCAAAGATCCAGACATAAAAACCTAGAAAAATGAGACTACTATGTACCAAGATAGCAAAAGCCATGGGATGAGCAAGTTTTGGTGGGAGAAGAGAGATTCAAGTCTTTAGATGGTCTTCTCTATCACTTCTCTGCTACATTTCTGACAGTATATGAAGAGCAGACAACTCTGGCCATTTTTTAAGATGGCCTAGAGCTGTTAACTAAGAGTATAGTTATATGCTTTGAAAACCAGATGAACAGATTCCATTGGAAAGTTAAGAAGCCCAATCATGAAGGATACCTCACCTCTTTTAAAGTGGACACAATTGACAAAAGTGCTTAAAAATCATCTTTGTCAGTACTTTCCCACACACATGGTACTATCAAGGTATTAGGAAATAAGAGCTATAGATATCATGCAGAATAAAAACATAATTGGGTCAGTGCATGGCATGATGCTTAAGGCAAATGGAGCCTACATGGCTGACTATGCAGTTCAAGTCCTGGACCTGGAGATACTGGTCGCAGTCGCATATGTGTGTGTGACCAATACCCCAATAAAAGGGACACATGGAGGAGTGGGAATGGTGGGGTGACAATTCCCCACTGGAGAGGGTACTTTCTCACTTTCCCTCCCCCTTCTCTCTGTCTCTCTCTGGCAGTACATGCTTCCTCTCCAAATTAAAAAAAAAAAATTATATATATCTATCTATATATATATACATGTATATATATTATAACATAAGCAAGGACAATTTTATCTAGGGTTTTGGTTTGGTTGTTTGTTTTCTATTTCCTGGAGTCCACCAAATTTAAAAACTGAAAATTCAACTTTACTTCTTAGTTAAGTAAGAAGCTTTAAGAAGCTAAGAAGTCATTCATTAAGAGCAGTATCATCTTCTGAAAATTTATTGAGAAATAACACAGGAAGGATCCACTGTTAGTAAGGGTCCATTAAAATGTCAACAGTTATGGCCCAATCATCAGGACATCAAAAACAAGCTTAAAGATTTTATAATTAATACAAGTGGGTAAAGAAGATTAACATTAATGAAAAAATAAATTTAACAAAGCAACTATTATATGCATTTTATTTCAAGCCTTTATTCCCTAACAAATATGCTAAAAATATTTATCAGAAAGAAGTCTGGGGGAAAATCAGTAAAATTAAATTTAAAACCAAAAGTCATCCATTTCTCTCTTATAAAAAACAATAACTACAGCATGATAGTTTTTGAAGATTAACATTAATGAAAAAATCAATTTAACAAAGCAACTATTATATGCATTTTATTTCAAGCCTTTATTCCCTAACAAATATGCTAAAAATATTTATCAGAAAGAAGTCTGGGGGAAAATCAGTAAAATTAAATTTAAAACCAAAAGTCATCCATTTCTCTCTTATAAAAAACAATAACTACAGCATGATAGTTTTTGATAGGAGTAGGTAATAGAATCAACATTTATTATCTTAAAATATCCCTGAGTCACTGTAGCTAGCAGATTTAAAATATCAAAAATCCTGGATCCAACCACCTTAGCCATGGAAGTTAAAGTGGCTGGATCCAACATGGCTGACTGAGCAGTTTGAGTCTCAGACCCAGCAGTCTGAAAATCATGCCCTGCATGTGTGTGCCCAAGTCCCTAGAGAAAAATGGAGGAAAAGGGATTGCAGTGTGGCCATCCCCTCATCCCACCCTCCCCCACCACCCCGTCCCACTTTCTCTCTCTCTTTCTGTCTTTGTGTGATAAATGCATATGACCTATGGCAAACAAAGAAAACCCAGTACTCTTTGTTTAATTACACTAAGGTACAAACAAACAAAAAAGGACAAGGCTCAGTTCAGACAGTGCTACGGAGGACTCAATGACTGACTAGACAAATCAGCCAGCAATAGGCCTGCCTTGGTTGCTACCTTTGACAGGGATGATGGTGCCTCACTGAGACTGGTGGGCTCACCATCACTGCAAGTAATTTCCCTCTCTGTTGCTGAGTCATAAACCATACCACTCACAGCTGGCCAGCCATCAGCACATCCCCACTCCTTAACCCCTGCTGTTAAGAACCCTGCAAGAACCTAAAGAACCTAACTGAGTGCAGATTAAAGTAACAAGTTGCCTATGTGGAAGACTAGAGAGTACATACACGTGAGAAATGGGAACCTTCTGCATTAATCCTAACAGTCCATATAGAAGAATATGCAGTCAGCAGAGCAAAAGTCTCCCAGTGAGAAATCTCTGTGCCAAATCTTAGTGACTCTGATATTAGCTTGAGAAAATTACTGTACCGCATAAACTTTCTCATATTGAAGATGAAGACAATTTATTAAGAGATTAATTGAATATTTAAAACACTTTATGCACCATCTGGCAAAGAGTAGTTCAATAAATATTAGGTATTAAGTAATATTAATATTAGTAGTAATAGTATTAGAAATAATAAATATACATTTGACCATCTGCAAAGGAAGAAAAAGTACTTAATCTTGATGACTTCAAAAGAAAGCTGAATTCACATATTTCCTTTTAATGTCTCCTTATGAGAAAAAAGTAAATAATTATTAGTATAGTAGTTTAATTGTATTTATTTCTTTATCTTAATTTTTTTTTAATTTGTAACATGGTGCCATGCACCCACTAGAGACAGAGGGAACAAAATAGCAAAACTGCACACTATGATAAAAAAAATTCTAAGTGGATATTAAATAGAAATAAAAAATAAAAGAACATAACCAAAAACACTTTTTAAAGAATGATAACATAGGGACCAGCAGGTGGCATAATGATTAAGGCACTGGATTCCCACATGGTCAGTGATAGTTTGAGTCCCAGATCCAGCAGCTCGAAACTCATGCCAGGTGCATGTGTGTGCATGTCCAAAATCCTGAGAGGAGAATGGAGAAGGGATGCGGCATGGACACTCTCCGCCCCCCGCCAAGGTGGGTAATTTCTCAGTTTCTCTCTCCCCATCTATCTCTGTCTTTCTGGCAAGTGCATGTCCTATAGCAACAATCTCTCCCCCTAAAAAAGAAGAATGTAAAGAGTGAATATATGATTTGTATGTCTTCAGTGCACGTAACCATATAAAATCTTTTCTAACAAAACAATATTATGTGAATAAAGATATACTGAAATTGACATCAGTTTTTACTTTATGAATAATTTTTGAAGTGATACATACTGATAAAACTGATAGATGAATTGATAAAGGGCCCCTGCACTTCCCCTTCAGAATATAAAGCTCTATTTTATTACACAGACCATGTATACCTTTTTCACTACTTTTTCCTCATTATACAACAGATTCTTAGTAAACATTCGCTGAATAAATAAGTCATAGATATTATGATAATAAATACAAATACACCTATGTTCATAGAAAACTAGTAAGCTAAAATAAAGATTAGCATTTTATTACTAGGCTCAGAGTTCAGTGCTTTAAAAACTTAGATGTAACTTCTATTGAATTCACAGACTTTTTTCTTTAAAAATTTAATTTTTTTATCTTTTTTTTTTTTAATTTTACCAGAAAAACACAGGAGCAGGGAGGAGTAAGAAGGCAAGACAACAGGTCCAGGACTTGAACTGCAGTCAGCCATGTGGGAGTCCAGAGCCTTAACTACTACACCACATCTGGCCCTCACAGACATTTTTAAGGCACCACTTTCCAAAATAGTAACAGTATTACCTATGTAGAAATCAGAAACCACAATTCAATAGCATGAAAAACTTTCAATAGAGCAAATTTGTTACCAAAAATGTGAAATGCTATTTGAGAGCACATACAAAGACAGATCACATCAGATATCACGCCCTTCCTTAACACAACTCTCACTTGAAAACTACTCCTGGAATATTTAACTCAATTTTATATATAGTCTATATCTGGCAGCTAGAGAAAAGATCAGGTTCATTCCATAAGCAACCAAAAGACAATCAGCATAGGAAAAAATATAAACTTCCCCTGTTAGAATTACATATTTATAAAATTAAGTTATGGAGTCAAATTATGTAAAAGAATAATCAAATGTACAGAAAGACTAACTCATACACCAAGAATCTAACAAAGTACCAGTTACACAGTTGGTGTTCAGTGAAAAACTGAGGAGTAAAGAAAAAAAAGAATCTTTTCCTGAGCTCCTCTAATGAACATTTTGAAGTTTTGTTAACAGACAAAAGAATATTCCAACTGAGAAAAATAACAATAACCAAAAAACCATAAAATTCTTAAGATAAGGTAAACAGGAGATGGTAGAGACATAAATTATATTCATGCCGTTTAAATAAACTAAATGCTTCTAAATTTATGTAAGCCACATTAACAAAGTTATTAAAATTCTAGATAGGGAAGATTCCATTTCTGTCCAACCAGGTAAAGCTATCTTTAGACCTCAGAGGTGAAGTGTTCTTCTTTAGGACAAAGGTTCTGTTCATGTCATAATTAAATGTGAAATACTTTATGTAAGAATTCACTAAGGACTGTTCTCAAGCATTCAATGCCATTTTCAGGACACAAAATGAAATGGTTCTGAATTTTAATTCATATCCTGTTTTACAAGGACACAAAGGGAAATCTGTGAGGACAATTGAAGAATCATTTTCCACCTTACTGAAGAGGCATGTTTTAAAATTAAAAACCATGAACAAATCTATCTACAAAATAATTCATTTTTTATATCAAACAGCTGCAGACCCAGTAATTGAAATAATGTACCTAAGGTTACAAATGAAAAGTGTTAGGTATCATTCTTGAAGTGACAGATTAAGTTCCTAATCCAGTTATGGTAATAGCCATATTTGTAGTTTAACATAAATTAAGAACTTAATTATATTTGTGACTATTTTAAACAAAATAACAAATTCCTTTGTACCTGTGAATGTAATTTATAGCAAAGCCAGGTTCATTTTCCAAACCAATCTATTTCACACTGCAGAAGTACTCTGGTATAATGGTATAATGTAATTCTTGTTGTAGAATGTTGAAAGAGAAGATTCACTAAAAGCACAGAAGAGGTTTGAAGATAAATGAAGACGCTATTCATTCAAGGGTAATTTCATCTTAGAACTATATGAAAGATGTTTCGCTCACACAGGGTAGTGTATGGCCTCAAACTTAAGTGTATTTTCAGCTCAAATATAATGCTACTAGATTGATTATGTTGATACTGTATATCTAATAATGAAGAATTCTGGTCTTTTCTATTTAAAAAATAGACTGTCAGTTTTTTTCACCTTACTACTATGTCTTTATTGTTCTGCTTAACAGCAACAAATTTTTAAATCCTGCTTGCTATTTACTTTTTAAATAAAAAGTAACAAAAAGTAAATGGTTAATATTCTTTCTTGCAATCAGAACAATAGGAGTGCAAATTTTTGCTAAGTTAAGTACTTATATTAGCATATAATCATTTTTCATTGTTTTATTAATTACTAAAAGTGACAACTTGTAAGAGTTATCTAACTCTATTTTGAATATATTTTGTTTCCAGAATCAGAACAATTTAAATGTTTTATATACACCATACTATTTATATGGTGAGGGACTAGTATTAAGGCTGAGCAGCTGGAGTTTTTTGTTTTTGTTTTTGTTTTTGTTTTTTTACTTACCTGATAAACTCTGCAATTTATGCCCACAGTTAACCATTTATAAAAATCACATTTTATATATTTAAATCATTCCAGGAATTATAAACATAAATCTCCAAAATGCTTTCATACTTCTGGTATACACAATATTGTAACACAAGATAATCAATCTGAAGAATTTAAATTCAGTAACATCAAGGCAACATATATAGCTTCTATCTTGCTCATTTTAGAATACTGAAAAGAATTTTATGGGCCCCTCTCATTTATTAATAATAAATGCCTGATAAATTCTTTTTACCTTTCAGCTTTCCTTTCTTCCTCCTAAACCCTGAGAGTGAAAAGAGAAGCCTCATTTTGTAGACTCCAAGTGACAGGGGAACAAACTTTAAAATAATAAAGTTTCAAGTCATAGGTTCATGTACCTATTTGAACAGAATCCTAACCTGTTTCCTGACTTTAAGTTTTAAGCAAAGGTCTCTTAGCAGCTTTTTCTATTTATTAAAACTAAAATTGCTTTTCTTGAAATTATAAAATTTATTTAAAAATACGTATTTGATGACCACAGTAAGCTATATAGCATCAGCTAGGTGATACTTTATAATATATTCATTCTACTCAAGAGTAAAATCAGACATGTGTTCACAGATATATATGTACATATCAGCTGAACTTGCTATTCAAAGTAGTTAGATTAATTAAGATACTTTGTGAATCAAAAAATGGGGAGAAGGAATGGAAAGCAACTGTAGACACCAGAGACACTGTAGGAGGAGGGTGGGGAAATGGCAGAGGGTGAGAAATGGGGAAAATATATTAAGAAATGGAAAATTATTTGTCAACAATAAAATGTGTGCTAAAGCCACTGTACAGTGTATTCTGGGTAGGAAATCACATTTTGAAACCTGTGATGATGTTCAGTGAATGAATATAAAATCAATTGTATATCAAGAAAAGAAACTTTATAAAACTTTTTCATACCCATTTTAAAAATGTCTTTCCATAACTTATTATTCTAATTTCCTTTTAAAAAGCATCTACTGGCATCAACCTACTTGTATTTACATCAGGTTTAAACTGACACTTTGCAAATGCATACAACTCTGAACAACTTGTTTAAAGCAAAAAGGTATTCAACTGAACAGAAAATTCAAAATCATTTCCTCTAAAATTATGCAGGTAAGCACTGTGCCATTTGAATGACATGACAAGTTTATAGCAGCTATATTTTCATATTCACAGTTGTTTCTCCATGCAACAGACCTGTAGCCCCAAAGACTAATATTCTTCTCCCCTGCTTTCCCACCAAACACTACATTAAGATATTACCATTTAACTGCTATTTAATATATCCACCTAAAAAGCATCATTTGCTTAAAATAAAAGCAAGGGTCAGCTAAGTATTTATCAGCAGATCTGACATGTTAGTGTTCATGGCCCAGAATTAATGGGGCCTATAAAAGTGCTGACTTTTTAAAATACAGCATATTCAACAGAAAGAAAATAATTTTTATTTCTGTTGTCTTCTCCTTCATTTTTAGAGATAATTTATTCACAAAGGGTGAGAGAAGATAAAAACATTAAATAGAACAGAAATATCCCCTTAACCTGAGCTTAAATGTTATTCCTGCATGAAGTAAAAATAAGTAAAAAGTAAGATTTATTTTCATGCAGCATTCTAATAATTATCAGTTTGAGACACTCCCTAAACAATAAACTTAAGTTTTTAGAGTCCTAAATGGAGTTATACAAAAAGAAAAACTTATTTTTAAATTGGCTTTATATATATATATATTAAATTCTTCCTAAAACAACCTAGAAAGTAACATTTTAATTTTTTAATTACTTATTTTATTTATTCATTCATTTATTTTAATTTGACCAGAGAGAGAGAGAAAATGAGAAAACAGCCACTAGGTCCAGGACTTGAACCATGGTTGACCATGTGGGAGTGTCCAGTGCCTTAACCACCACACCAACTGCTGACTCCCAAAAGTATATTGATTTCACTTTTTTCAAAAGAATTTCTCATGTATTACCTAACTTGAGCTTCATAATAACACATAATATAGGTAAAACTATCTTTACCCCATTTCATAGATCCAAAAGCTGAGACACGTTTATCTTTCACAATTTAACATAAACTCTAAATTGTAAGATATAGTTTGCTAAAAAATGTCAGAAATAATTTGCTAAATGTTTATTTATTGTTGGGTAAACTTCAAAAATCTATTATCACTAGACTAGACTGATAAAAAGCAAAGTGTTATGAGTATGGATTGTCCACTTGAATTTGTATTCCAGCTCTGCCAAGTACTACTTACGTACCTTGAGGTCACCTGTTTAACCTCTCTGTCTTACCTTTCTGGTCTGTGAGAAATGGGAATAATACCCCTTCTTAGGATTGCTATGTGAGAGGATGATGTCTGACACTTACATCATACTCCACCTACCCCGTATGGTTATTGTTAGATTAACTGAGTTCATAAGAGTTAAGTGCTCAACACAGTGACAAGCACATGTGGCACTCAACCAGTGCTGTTGGTTTCCGTTTGCCTCCACAATTTGTGGGTTCTATAACCTCGGGCAGAGCATCTCTAAGCTTCAGTTTCCTGACCCTTTCAAATGAGGATATAACAATGGTACTCTGTCCTAGGATCCATTAAGGACTGAGTGCAATATACCACATAAAAGCTCTTGGTAGAGGGGCCGGCAGGCGTGGTGGTTAAGGACAAGTCCCGAACCTGGCAGCTTGCTTTCTCACTTTCTTTCTCTCTGTCCCCTCTCTGCCTCCCTACCTCCCTCCCTCTCTGGTCAAATTAAAAATAAATAAATAAAGTTAAATAAAATAATTATCTTTTTTAAAAAACCTCTTGGTAGAGTGTCTCATACAATAAAAGCACATACTAATACTAAATGTTAAAACCAATCATCTGATTCCATGTTATTAAAATAACATTTTCTTTTAATTAAAATAGTCAATATTAACATTTTAAGGTACAGTATCAAAGGATGAGAACAAAAATTATAATTAATGTTCGCACAAATACAAATGTGTCCTCCAAAATTCTTATAAATAACCTTTATTTTCACTTATGCTGGTGTTTTTAGGTATTATCAAGCCTTCAAGATTCATTATTTGTGTTCACATTGATTATGTGGGCCTTTTTCAAAAAATTAGGACAGAAGGAACTAATAACCAATATTCTTTGCATATCTATGCTATATTTGGTACTTTGAGCACTTGAAATGTATAATAGCTAGTACAAATCAAGATGTAACTATAAGAGTAAAATACACATCAGGATTTCTTAACTTAAAATGAAAAAATGTGAAAATACTCCATTAATGTATTTTGTATTGATTGATTACATATTAAAATGATAATGTTTGGATATATCAAGTTAAACACAAAATTAAAATTAATTTCATTTGTTTCTTTTTACTTTTTTAAATGGCGCTACTAGAAAATTTTTAATTATATATGTGGCCAACATTGTATATCTATTAGATAGTTGGTTTAGATTTGGGAAGTAAGAAAGAATTACTACCAAGTTCTTTCCTCAGTCAATATAAACTTGTGTCATTTAAAGTGAAACCATTATAGAAATGATGATTTCTTTCTTTCTCTTTGTATAAGACTGCATATACATTTACGTGCACACAATACGCAGCTCATGGGAAAAAAGACCATGTTACACTAACACGTCCCTTACATTGAACATACAAGATAACTTTATAACCAGTAATATCAACACTTTGTTAATGTGGGAAAGAAAGCAAATCTAAGGAGAAATAATAGCCACAGGGAAAAACATTATTTTATTATAAACTGAAATCATAAAAGTTTCTTTAATCGAAAGAGGTCTAACCACTAAGCTTGAGGGTTATAATAAACACCAAGTCTCTTTGGTAGGTAAAATTTAAATTTCCTGATGATTTAACTGGCAGACTATTAAAATATCTGATGTTAGATATCTAGTATCTTCTAGAAAATATCCAGTTTATGGATACCTGTCACATTGTTTTGATTGATTTTATACATCAAACATGAGGCCTTTAACTGATTCTTCTAAACAGATGCTGGTCCACTATATAGAAGAAAATTACTCCATAAAGTTTACATCAGATATCTGGAAAAGTCACATTTATAGTCATGGCTACTATCAGCTGTCAAGCCAAAGAATATTGAAGAAAACTAAGAATTTTTAATATATGCTGGTTAATTTATCATCTAAGTGACATATGTAGGATTAAAACAACTGAAATGGTTAGGCAAAATTCTACACTTCGGTCCTGTTTTGGTTTTAGTTTTAATTGCAACTATGTTCTGCAAAGGCTTGGTGAGAAAGTAAATTAATAGGCACCATAAAAATTGGTAAATTGATAAATTAGGTGTACACTAAGATTTCTTTTTTCCTCTCTTTACTGGATTTTTTAAACATATTTGTTTTAAATGGTAATCTCTCTTAGTCTGTACCAGAAACTGGTTAAACCACTGATTCCAGATTCTCAGCCTGGCATTATTTATACTGGGGCTGGAAAATTCTTCATTGTGAGAGGAATGGACTGCCCTGTGCATTGTGAGACGTTTAGTAGCATCTTTGGTACCCACCCCATAGATGTCAGTAACAGGCCCCCAACAGTTTTGGCAGCTAAAAATGTTCCCAGTTGAAAACTACTGGTCTATCCTATCCAATATACCTTCCAATATGGTGAAAAATACTTCAGTACTTGAGGCCAGCAGATGGCATAGCGGTTACATTGCTGGACTCCCACATGGCTGACCTTGGTTTGAATCTTGAACCCAGTAGATTAAAACTCACATGGGGCGCATATGCCTGTGTGTCCAAGATCCCAGGAGGAGAACAGAAGAAAAGGGATTGCAGTATGGCCATTCCCCCAAGGGGGTGATTTCTCACTTTCCCTCTCATTGTCTCTGTCTCTCTCTTTCTGACAAGGGCCCGTGCCCTAAGGCAATAAACCTTTACCCAAAAAAAAGAAAAAAAAATTACTTCAGTGCTTCTCTAATACTATGATTTGGTTTTAGTTTTCCTAGATAGATTCAGGAGAGAGCTCAGGAAACCTGCCAAAACCATATGAAGAACAGCCTGGCTATGTTTTTATTTGTGTATGTGCACTAGAATCTTTACTGAAAAAAATGTCCTATAGCTTTTGTCAGATCCTGAAAGAGTAATTCCAAAAATGGCGATTAAAAAAGAATTAAGAATCAATACTTCAACTAAAATATTCACTGTGCCCTAAAGTCATCTTTTCAGAGATATAAAAATTGAAAACAGTATTTTTATACATAGCAAATAATGTACTTACGCTGTCAGTAATCAAGCAAGATTGCTTTCAACACACTTATAAGCCATTCATACAACAAGCATTTACTAAACACTTCCTGTGTGCTAGGTACTATATTATCAATATTTGAAGGTCAAACTTAAAGTCTATCACACCTATACACACAAGATTAACAAGTAGCTGTATAAAATGCAAGTTTAATGCATATAACAAAGAATTTCTGCTTATTGAAGACTAACATAAAAAAGAAAAAACTAGTTATAAGACAAGTATGTACAGACAAAATAAAGGTAAATAAATATCATTTATAATCTTGGTAAAAGATTTTAAAGAAACTTAAGCATAGTCACACTAACACATTATAGTCCAAATATACTTCTTTCCATCTTTTCCTTCCTTCTCTGCCTTAAACAAAACAGACACACACAAAGACATACTGTTACACTGAATGACAATATAAAATACTGTTACTAAGCCCAGAGGGCAAAGAGTTGTATAAAAAAATATAAATGAGATAACGTAAAATTAAGTGCTCAGAGGTATTATACCTAGAACACAATAAAAGCTCAATAGTCTCTTTCCCGCCCTTTCTTTCTGTCCTCAAGAAGCTCACAGTCTCACCTCCAATAAATGTCACAATGTTTTAGATTTCTCTTTTGAGTTATCTCTTAGGTGCTATATAATAAAAATCTTTGTGATTCAAACTACGTAAGCTAAGTAAATAGCAGCTAAATATATAAAATGTTGGAATAGCTATACTATAATTCTATAACCTAATAACCATTTCTTTTTTTTTAACCAATCCCCAAGTATCCTATTCTTATAATGCAGTTTAAAATTTACAAGGTCACTTATCTTTTTTTGGATTACACAACTGTGAGATACAACTTGAAGAGTTATTGCATTCAATAAGTGGTCTGGGGGTAATAAATGCTCAAGTAATCAATAAATATAGAAGAAGTGGCTACAAAATAACATGCCTGATTCAAGATTACAAATGAATTAAGGTTAAAATGAGCACAATGAGAAAAATGATACTTAAAATATGTGGTAAATACTTACAAATAAAATAGAAAATAATTCTGAGTCCATAAATGAAAATAACACCCAAAATAATCAACACCACATATATAACTAGCCTAAAGCAAAACTGCTAAGACATAGACTGTGCCTAGCACATAAAAGTGATTTTTTAAAAGAATGAATAATGAAGATTTTAATTTTTATTTTACATAATGACATCAATTCACTGAATAATACTGCATGAAAAATTACACTTCACAGAGAAGCAACAATATGGTTGATAATAGTAAATCACAGAAAAATTCTAAATACATACTGTTCTTTCTGGAAGGGGAGAAGTAATTGTAACTAAAATGATGCATATCACCCAGGCAGTGAAAAAAATTTGTTTACATATTTACCTGCACAGCAAGAGAAGCTGCATTGTCAGAAAGCAAAATTTGTTCCCCTGTGGAAATACAATGAAAGGTGTGAGTCAAGTGTAACTGCTACATAGGTAAAATACGATATTTTTATTTTAAAAAAACTATTAATTTTTTTTAAAGAAAAGGTATAGTCTAGCACCAAAGTAATTACATAGTCCTGTGTCGGTGCTATCATATAATTTTGGATAAATTATCATAGTAGTCAATAATGATAAAATAAGACTATTTCCTTTAAAACTATTTGATCATTTATACAATTTTATCAGCATGTGTAATTATTACATTCACTCTTTTAAAAATAAATTCACATTCCAACTTAACAAAAAAAATCCCTCTTTTCATTAAAAATAAGTAAAATATTTTGTATCTGTTCAAACCTCCCTAGTTAAAAGTAAAAACATTCACAATCATATAAAACCAGCTTGCAGTTAATATTGCAGAGTGTGTCTAGGTCTGTCACACAAAAGAAAGATGACAAGTTTGCTGCAATAAAAATTCCATGCTTAGAAGACTAGGGCTGCTGCCTATTAGTCTTCATTACTTTGCAGTCTTCTGACAACTGTAGCAGGCTGCTGAGCCCCAAATGGGGTCCATAATGTGATCTGATGATATATGAAGAGCTGCTAAAGGGAGCCTGAACCATCCTAGCCTATACATTTTAACAGTTCCTTTTTACTGAGAGCCCACTTTACCACAGGACTTCAAAAATCTGCTGTCTCAGCTATCGGTGCAGTAAATCTGCCAACTGCTCCTGCAACCACATCATTTTACACTGCCTACAGCAGCCAATATAATGAGTCAATAATAAACTAAGGACCTTATAGGCCATGAATAGTTGGTTACACTGCCAAATACAAGTTTAGGTAAAACCTCCTAGACAAATTATACACAGGAATTCTTCCTTTATGTTTTACCTTCTCTTTACAGTAAATTATATTACTTAGGGCTTTTAGGGTAATAAATATATTTTCATACAAAGCCATTTTTAATTGTGAACAAGAACCTACCTTTCAGTTGCTGATATAATGTAGCATTTTCAGGCCAAGGTTCTGTAGCTGAGGAAAAAAGGCAGTGATAATTAGGCATATAGGGTAAAAACTTATCAATAACCAACCAAATTATTAAGTATGTATATTTACCTAAAACATTTAAAGTCAATTGCTAAGGTTATCTTAAATATGGCAACTAATCTCACTGTCTTAAATTCTATGATAACTTGTATAAATAGGTTAGATAACTTGCCTCAAATACGTGTTTTATATATTGTTCAGTGACTTTTTTATGGAGAAGAAAGACATCTTGCCCAATCAAAAATGAGAACTTGAAAAATAAAATAACCTACATGCTATGATTCCTTTAGCCTCGCTGAAACACAAACATACCTAAAATGCTACTCACACACACTAAAAATTTGATGTTTGACTCACTATGAAAAAAAGCAAAACAATATCTGTATTTTACTACAAACTTTAAACAAAGCAAAATTTCAAATACACAACACTCTATGAAATATACCTGTATTAGGCTGTCCATCCTTACTTGTTGGCAATATTTAAAAATACAGAGGAACCCTGTTGTATTATAGAACATTTTGTTAGCATGGCCCTACCACCGTCACTCCACAAAGACAATTAGAGTAAAGCAGTATGATGAAGCGCTATGTATGCAAAATGTGAAACAGGGCAAGTAAACTAACTGTAGGCCTAAAGTGAAGCTTCACCTTGACCCTTAACTTTCACCTAGAGAAGACTTCAGCTACAAAGAGAACACTAGGAACTCTATCAGTGGTCAGGGAAAGCATTAAGTTTTGAATTTTGTCTAACTAGCTGCACTTCAAGCAGTAATGGCTCCATTAAAAAATATAGGATACCAGAATATCATTTATTCAATTCTTTGTAAAAGCCATAAATTATTAGAATCACCAATTCTAACATAGTAACTATACTTGCTTTCAGCAAGAAAATAAATATATGAGAATTTATAATAACTGGTTATTTCTCTTGTTGCATTTATACTAATCCAGTCTTTATGACAGAGTAACAAATAATTTTTAATATGCAATTCTAGCTGGTTTTTCCAAAGGAACTGATATATGTAAAATATATATTTTTTAAAACTGATCATTTACAATACTCTAAAACAATGCTTGGGATAAGATAGAACCCCTTAATTTGTTGTTTTGTTTGTTTGTTTGTTGGGGTTTTTTTACTCTTTAGAAAGAAAAAAAATACAGCAGTATTATAAATTACAAATGTTACTTCTGGTTTGTTTGGACTACACAAAATTAAACTCATACTTAAGGATAATACACACAATCATCAAGCCAATAATGGTCATACATTAGCTTTGTATGCTGTTACCTACAATATCACACATGTTCAAAAAGGCTACTGAATTTCAATGTACATACCAAAAAGCAGTGAAACTAAATATTTACTATATTTTATTGTAAACTTTTTTAGCAAAATAAAATTTCAATAAGAACCTAATTAATCTGAGGAAAAAGGAGGAGAAGGGATTGCTGTGTGGCCATCCCCCCCGGGGATTTCTCGCTTTCTGTCTGTCTTTCTGTCTTTCTGGCAAGCGCACATGCACCATAGCAAAAAACCTCTCCAAAAATAAATAAATAAATAAATAACCCAATTAACCTGTATAAGAGTTTTAAAATAAAAGTCGAGGAAACAAAAAGGACTCGACATCAGCAAATTACTCAAAAATAACCTTTTAGGATAAATTGTATAGTCAGCACACCTACATTGTTTGCATCTATACTAAAAACAATACAATCAAATTCATTCATTATGAGATTCTAAATCATCAAAGATCCAATTATATGTATTTATTAAAGCAGTAAGCATAGAAATAAGATGAACAAAAATGTCAAAGAATAAACATTGAAATTAAGTTCACTGATACGGTTTGTTGCATACATTTGCATATCCCACATTGTATCCTGTTTTGCATACAATTGGTATTTATTAATTATGTGTGGAAAGAAGAAAATGTATATTTGATTAAGCCTACCACCTCATTCCCTAACATTCTAGGTAATCAAAATTTTAATGAACTTAATATTATCATCTATGTCACAGTAATAGTGTTCTAATGAAATATTCTAGTAATTTTAACTTTTGGTTAGTTATTTTGTGTATGTACTCGACATGGATTACAAATTATCAAAACAATGGAGTAACATACCCTTAGTATTAAGTACATGCAGAATATAAGTTAAATATTCTTTGATAAGTCATAAGCTACCTCAAACTCCATAATAAAACAGTTACTAAATGAACAGCAACTTATGTGTTCAATAATTCCAGTTAAAATATTTATTCATCATCACCCTCAGATTCCCCAGTTCTAATCCAAAAGACATGTAAAAGTAATAGAAATTTTGCAGCATACTACCTGACTGCAAATAAAACTAAACAAGTTGCTTAAAAATACCAAAAAATCTAGTATTAAGAACCTGAACCTACAGGGCCAGCAGATGGTGTGATAGTTAAGGCACTAGACTCCCACACGGTCAACTACAGTTCAAGTCTCAGACCCAGCAACTTGAAAACCACACAGCCTGAAAATCACATCAGGCATGTGTGTGTATCTGCCCAAAATCCCAGGAGAAGGGAGAAGAAGGAATTGTGCCATAGCCATCCTCCCCAGGTGGGTGATTTCTCACTTTCCCTCCCATTCTCTGTCTCTCTTTTCAGGAAGCACACATGCCCTATGGCAAAAACCTTAAAAAAAAAAAAAAAAAAAACCTTTTAAAAGCTAGAAACTGGAGTGGAAGGGGGTAAATGTTCTGCTTGACCCAAAATATAAACTGTGCTTCAACTCTGAATTATTGAAAATAAATTTTCAGAAAGGAACTCTACCAAAACATCTGGTGTTTTCTTCACAAACAGAACCTATCATTTAAAAAAAGAAGGTTAATCTGGCCCCACAGCACAGCAGTTTTAAACCCTGTGCTTAGGAAGCTGGATCCCACAAGGCTGACTATGGTTCAAATCCTAACCTTGAAGACTTGAAAAACATGCCAGGTGCATGTACCAAATCCTACCAGGATAGAGAAATAAGGTAAAAAGACTTAAGACATGGGGTCAGCATGTGATGTGGTGGTTAAGGTGCTGGACTGCCGAATGGCCAAACATGATTTGAGTCCCAGTCCTGGCAACTTAAAAATCATGTTGGTCAGGGAACCAGCAGTTAGCGTAATGGTTATGTCGCTGGACTCCCACGTAGTTGACCACGGTTCACGTTCCGGACCCAGTGGCTTAGAACTCACGCGGGGCGCATGTGCGTGCGTGCCCAAGATCCCAAGAGGAGAACAGAGGAGAAGGGATTGCAGCGTCACCATCCCCCCTGGGGGGGTGATTTCTCGCATTCTATCTCTCGGTCTGTCTCTGTCTGTCTGGCGAACACACGCGCCCTATGGCAAAAACCTCTCCCAAAAAAAAAAAAAAATCATGTTGGTCACATGTGTGTGCATAGCCAAAATCCCAGGAGAATGGAGAAGGGATCGTGGTATGGCTATCCTTTGGGGTGTGTGTGTGGGGGGTCATTTCTTACTTTCCTTCTCATTGTCTCTCACTACAGGAACTGCACACACCCTATGGCAAAAAACCTTTAAAATAAAACTTTTAAATAAAAAATATTTGCAACATGATCACATGTCATTAGGGGAAGGTCTTCTCTCTCTCTCTCTCTCTCTCACACACACACACACACACACACACAAATGCAAGCACTCTCTACAATTTAAAAATAAATTTTAAAATAACAAGAGAACACTATATAAACATATCTGACTATGTTGTTTTAGCACCTAGGAATTCTAGTGCATCATGGATCAGGAGACAAGAAATGGTACAGTATAGAGGCCAGCAGGCAGCATGATGGTTAAGGCACTGGACTCCCACATGGCCAACCACGGTTTAAGTACTGGACCTGGCAGCTCTCTTTGCCATTCTCTCTCTCTCTCTCTCTCTCTCTCTCTCTCTCGCTTGTGAGCACACATGCCCTACAGCAAATTAAATAATAATAATAATAATAATAATACATGAAATTAAGTAATTCATTTTTAAAAAGTGGTACAGCAGCAAGAGAATGACCAGCTGCCTATCTTGTCCATATAAGCAGCTCAGAACATAAAAGCATCCCTGGTTTAAGTGTATCACCTATGTGAACCACCGCAAATAATTACATTTAAAGCTTGACACAGAAGAAACCACTGGTGACAACGGCAAGGGATCTACAAATGAAACACGCAGGTATCATTCTAAAAAATGAGCTCTCCAGCTGTCTTAAGTAAATTCATGAATCACTAGCATTATTATTCACACATAACAAAATACAAGGCCTATTTCTTGGCTTAGGCTAATAATTATGGCCTTTAATTGAGAACACCTATTATGTGAGAGACACAGTCCAACAAAACTTCTTCCCCAATTCTCTATTTTCCAAAGACAGGCAGGTCGGGACCAGCAGTTGGCATAATGGCTATGTCGCTGGACTCCCATGTAGGCGACCGCGGTTCGCGTCCCGGACCCAGTGGCTTAAAACTCACACCGGGCACGTGTGCGTGCGTGCCCAAGATCCCGAGAGGAGAATGGAGATGGGATTGCGGCATGGCCATCCCCCCTGGGGGGTGATTTCTCGCTTTCTATCTCTCTTTCTCTGTCTGTCTGGCCAGCGCACGCGCCCTATAGCAAAAACC